TACTAATTATTTGATAGTAAAAATCACTTTTAAATAATATAGTTATTATTAATAATTAATAGTAAAGATTATTTTTTAAATTTAAAAACATTTTTATTATACTTTAATATTAAATAGATTTTTGAATTATGACTAATATAATATAATAATATAATTTATATAATTATATGTTTTATTAATAATAATTATAACTAATATAATGATTTTAATTATAATATTATTTGTTTTTTAATTTCACAGAAAATTATAAATAAAATTATTATAAAGTTTTAAAAGTATTTTAAACTAATATTTTAATATTAAAATGCTTTTAAAAGTTTTTAAAATATTTTTACTAATATTTTAATAACAAAAACTATATTTAAATTTTAAAAACATGTTTTATTAATATTATCCTTTAAACTGTAAATATAAAATTATTTTAAAAACATTTTAGAAAACTTAAAATATTTTAATATCTAATAATTATAAAAAGATAAAATAAAAATTTTAAATTTATTATATTATTTATATTATAATCTATCTAATAGTAGTATATTTAAACTTTTAAAATTTATAATTTTAAAATAATTTATTATTTAATAATTATAAGATATAAAATTTAGTTATTAGAGAGTCGAGTTTAAAGATCAATTCTATTCAACTCTCTTTTTTCGAGTCAAGTCGAATCAAATTTATTTTATAAAATCTTTCAATTTGATTTGATTTGAGTTATATAAATTTTAAACTCGACTCGATTTAACTCGACTCGATTTTAACTCAATTTGATTTTGAAAAAAAATAATAAAAAAACGAAAAGATCAGGAGAGAGGAAGGAAGAAAGGAGGAGGAAAGTAAACGATTTAGATCATCATTCTTCTTGAATGATTTTTTTTATCATTCAAGTCGAACAATGATCCAAATCGTTCTTCTTAAATGATTTTTTTATCGTTCAAGTCAAATGATTCAGGTTATCATTCTTCTTGAATGATTTTTTATCATTCAAGTCGAACGATTCAGGTCATTGTTCTTTTTGAATGATTTTTTATCATTCAAGTTGAACTAATCAGGTCATCATTCTTCTTGAATGATTTTTTTTTATTCAAGTTGAATGATTTCTTATTGTTCAAGTCAACTCAAGTCAACTCAAATCAAGTTAAATTTAAATCAAGTCAAATTAAATATTTAACTCAACTTGAATTTGGCTTGACTCACAAATCATCAAGTCAAAAAAACATAAACTCAATTTGATTTAAACTCGACTCAGCTTATCTGACTCGTAAGTTAACTCAACTTATCTGGAATTCTATTATTAGATTCATTATATTAAAATCTATTAAATAGTAGTATTTTTATATTTTTGAGATTAATAAAATTTTAATTTTTTTTATTATTTATTTATCTTTAAATTCACTAATTAATTATATATTTTTTTAATTTTACTTAAAAAACATCATAAAATTTATTATAAAAAAATTAATTTTTTTAATAATATATTTTAAAAAATATTTAAAATAATTAAAATAATTGTAATTAATAAATAAAATTACTTATAAATTTGTAGACAAAACAGTTAAAAGGATAATAAATAAAATTATATTTAAAAATTTAGAGATATTATTATTAATATTTATTTAAAAATATTTTTTAAAATTTAATTTTATAATAATTTTAATTAAAATAAAAGAAAATTTACAAAGTAAATATATTTTAGAAAAAAATAAAAATTTTTATGTAAATATATTAAATCTTATTAAGTACATTTTAAAATTTAAATATTAATATAAATTAATATAATTATGATTTAAATAAAAAAATAAAAATAAAAAATAAATATATTATTTTAAAAAAAAATTTTATGTTTAAAAATTATATAATGTATATATAAACTAAAAATCAATTAGTTAACTAAATAACAAATTTAAATAGTATTACGGTCAGTTCTTTAAGATGCTTATGAGTAATAAGCGAAGCAATATTTATGGGTGATAAGCAGAAGGTTTAATTTGATATTTAGATTTGGAAAAGTGTTGGTAAATTAACAGTTTATTTAATAACTATAACAATGGAGTACTGCCTCAGTTAGTATTCTGTACCATATAATTATATTAAAGGGATTAAACTAAACTATTATATAAAACTATGAGTCAGACATACTGCTAAGCTAAAAGAAATTGTTCTTTATTTATATAAAATGAAAAATATAAAGTTATCGAAGATATAAAAGAAATAAATAAAATATATAAAATAAATAAAATATATAAAATAAATAAAATATAATAAATATATAGGATAAATAAAATAAAATAAATAAAATAAATATATCATATAAAAGAAATATATGCTATAGATGACATAGATACTATAGAAGACATATATAATTTCTTAAGGATCAACGTTATTCTTTAGATCATCATTATCTATATCTTCTTTTATGTAATAATATAAAGATTATATTAATATTAAAGAAGTAACATAATAAATATAGTCATTTCCCTCTATAGTCATTTTTCTATACAATTATATTATATAATTTCTTATTATAAGCACATATTTTATAAATACTAATATTTATTAATGCTATATAAAAAAATTTTTTTATAATTACAATGTTTTTATAATCCTATCTTTTCAGAATTAACACTTAGTAATAATATATAAAATCTTCCTATATAGTTACTTTTTATTATAATTACATTTTTTATATTTAATTTTAAAAAATATGACTATAAAGAGGGTTAAAATAACTATAATATTTAAATAATTTAAATAATTTATTTTTAGAATTATATAAAAATATTTTTTTATATTATATCAAAATAAAATAAAATAATTCAATTAATATTTAAAATTTTTTTTAATTTATTATTTGTAAATTATTTAAAATAAACAAATCATAATAAAGTTATAATTATATATAATAATTACAATAAAACTTAAAATTAAATATCTTTTAAATTATTTATAAAAATTTAATAATAATATTAATAATTTTATATAATCTTTATTATTTTTTAATAATAATTAAAAAGAAAATTAAAATTATATACTTTCTTATAAATCTAAACTTTTAATACCTATATCTAAAATTGCTAAATGAAAGCTAGAGATTTTGCAAGTTATTTAAATAGAAAAGGTAAAATTTAGTAAAATTATATTAAAACCTTATTAAAAAATCTGCAAAATTCTGAAAAAGGTAAAATTATATAAAAGTTTATAAAAATGCAAAATTATATTAAAAACTTAATAAAAAATTAGCAAAACTATAGTTTAGATATTTTGCTAAATTCAAAATGAGTTTAGATAAGCAATCTTATCTATATCTATAAAATATAATAAATTTATTCAGTATATTTATTATTAAATTAGATCAAAACATTTTGTATAAATTTATAATAAATCATTTTTAATTATATTAATATAATAAGAATAGTTAGTTTGTTTAATCTAGAATCTTAAGATATAAATCAAAACTATAACTAAATTAATAATTCTTAACAATACTTTTCTAATTTGATATAATAAATGCTTGTAACTTTAAATATCAAACTTCAAATAATAGGAATAATACTAGTATTACATGAAAAAAGACATAGATGATGATGATCTAAAGGATGATGTCGATCCCTAAGAAATCATATATGTCTTCTATGTCATCTATATCATCTATAGCATATATTTCTTTTATACAATATATTTCTTTTATTTATTTTATTTTATTTATCTCATATATTTATTATATTTTATTTATTATATTTATTTCTTTTATATCTTCGATAACTTTATATTTTTCATTTTATATAAATAGAGGACAATTTCCTTTGGCTTAGCAGTGTGTCTGACATATAGTTTTATATAGTAGTTTAGTTTAATCTCTTTAACATAATTGTACAGTACAGAGCGCCGACTGAGGCAGTACTTCATTGTTATAGTTATTAAATAAACTGTTTATTTACTGACACTCTTCTAAATCTAAATATCAAATTAAACCTTCTGCTTACCACTCATAAGCATCTTAAAGAACTGACCGTAACATTAGTTAAGAATATTTATTTATTTTCTTCCGTGATAAAGATAATACATGGTATCCCAAAAATCTAAAGTGTAAAAAAATATATATACAGAATACGGAAAGGCAAAAATATCAAATATAGCTTTTGAGCACTGACACTTACCGCATAATTCAGTGTGGGTTCCTTATGACACTATTAAGGTATAGGCTGGATTTATGTAACGGAAACTGGCTTGCGTTTAAAAAGGGTGGTGTCCAAACCGGTTTGATACTAATTTAAAATTTAAGCACCAATCATTTTTAATCAGATTAGTAAAATTTACAAATTTAACAATATAAAATTTAATAAAAACTTATGAAGTAATTTGTTTAAATATTATTTTTTTTTTTTTTTTTTTTTTTTTTGAAAAATGTAATTCTTTTTTCGGCACAATGAAAGTTTTTTAAGTTCTGAAGTGCAGATTATTTTTGCGAAATATATTTATTAATCAATGTTTATTAAGCAAAAGTTTCATAAGTTGTTTTTTTACGTAAAACTTCGTAAATTTGATAATTAACAAATATAAAACTGGATTTGTAAAACTGATTTAAAAAGGGCACCCGTTTTAAATTCAGTTTTCAAAAATGCAACTGGTTCTAAACTCTAATTGTAATTTTATCAAATCATTATTGTATAAAGCGATTAAAAACTGCTATACACTCAATGCTCACAAAATATGAATCAATATTTAGCATTTTAATAGTCAGTTACTAAATTATTAATCATATAAATTAATATACGTGTAATTACAAAATAGAAAATTAATAGATAAACATACCTGATAAATCTGCAAAAGTGCCAAATTGTATGTTTTCTGAAAAATCATTGTTAACTTGTGATTCGGAATCAGAACTATTTGCCATTATAATTTCTATATTTATTAAATTGAATAAATTAATATAAATTTATAATAAATTAATAGCTTTATATACAGTATATACGTACGTTCGGTTGATTCATTTTTAATACTCATTTTAAAGCCCATCTTTGAAATACTTCCAATATTTCTATAATAGTTGGGTCTTTGCTCGGGTTTCTGGCTTCAGCAATTTTGTAAAGTTTTTCATAATCTTCAGGAGTATCGGGTACAGCACCTTCACGAATATTATCGATAATAGCAATAGTGATAGTAACTGATAAATTACCATTAAACGATTTAAATGGAGGTCGTCCACTAGAAATTTCCTACATCAATACACCATAACTATAAATATCTGAAGGTTTAATATATTGAAATTTTGGATTTGCAAGTATTTGTGGTTTCATATAGGCAACTTTACCAAAAGTTCCAATTTGTATAGAGGAATTATTTTCAACTTTTGAAATACCGAAATCTGTGATTTTGGCATTATTTTCATGAATTACTATATTTTTAGAATGCTAAATAAAATATAAATTAATAATAAGTCATAAATATTTATAAATAAAATAACCAATCAATGCCTTTTCTAAATCTTTTTCTCTATTTATACCTTTTCATAAAAAGATTCTAAAATATCTTATGCATTACTATTTTCTTGTATTGCTTATTTTTCAAACTATTTAAATGCTTTATTAATATCTCATTTAATACCTTTTCCATAATAATAAAAATTACCTAAACTAAATTATGCATTATTATCATTTTAATCTGCTAATTTTTGATATCAATAAAATGCTTGTTTCAAATGTATTTCAGTTTCCCATTCATTTAAATAACATTCAGCTAAACTATATTATGCATAATTATTTTGATTAGATGCTATTTGATACCAATAACATGCATTTTCTAAACTTATTTCAACTACCCATCCATTTTGATAACATTCAGCTAAACTATTTTTGTGCAATCATATAATCATTTTCTGCTAAAACTTTTAATGAATAAAATGCTTCAATATTACCATTTTCTGCTGATTTTTGATACTAATAAAATGCTTTTCTAAATTTTTTTCAATATTCCAACCATTTTAGTAATATTTAGCTAAACTATTATGCATTTTCATTATTATTTTCTGCTGATTTATGATACCAATCAAATGCTTATTTTAAATCCTTTTTAAATTTTTATCCATTTAAATAACATTCAGTTATACTATATTATACATCACTACTTTTTTGCTCAGCTGATTTTTGATACCAATAAAATGCTTATTTTAAATCTTTTCAATTTTTCACATTTTGATAACATTTAGCTAAATAATATTGTGCAATTTTATTATTAATTTTGCTGAGAATTGTATCCATAAAAATGCTCTGTATTTTCATTTTTTTGCTGAATTTTAATACTAATAAAATGCTTTTTCTAAATTTATTTCAACTATCCATCCATTCTGATAATATTTAGTTAAACTATTTTGTGCTATTGTACAATTACTTTCTGCTATAATTTTTAATAAAAGAAATACTTCAATATTACCATTTTCTGTGGATTTTTAATACTAATAAAATGCTTTTTCTAAATTTTTTTCAACTTTCCATCCATATTGAAAAAATTTAGCTAAATTATATTATGCATTGTCATTATTTAGATCAAATGATTTTTGATACCAATAAAATGTACTTTCTAAACTTTTTTTTAACTCTCCTTCCATTTTGTTAACACTTAGCTAAATTATGTTATGCATTGCTATTATTATTTATTGCAAATTTTTAAAAAAAATTAAATACTGAATATAATTTAATACAAGTTAATTTTAATCAATATAAAATTAATATAAAAAAGAAATTTAATAATTTTAAAATAAAGTTTAGAAATAATATAAATAAATTAAAGTATTATAAAATAAATATGATTTATTAACTTTAATATTATTATTTATTATATAATCATCAAATTAAAATATAATATGTAATTTAAAAATAAGTTAATATTTAAATAATTTTGAATTATATAATTAATGAAATATAACTTACAATAATAATATTTTTTATAGTTTTAAATATTTATTAATTTAAATTTGTATAAAAATATCATTAAAAAAATCAATATAATATTAATAATTAATAAAAACTTTAAATTATAATTAAATTAAAATGTAAAAAATAAAAAATAAAAAAAATTAATAATATAACTTACAAGCTATTATATTATTAATTATTTATTTTTATTAATTAAATTAATATAATTAAATAAAAAAAAGTTAAACAAATATAAATTTTTATAAAATAAAAAATACAAAAAATTTATAATTAAAAATCAATAAATTAATTTACAGTCTATAATAAAAATTATAATAAAATTAATTTTAATTAATATTATGATAATATATTAAAAACTATTATTTTATTATAATAACTTATTTTCTACAAATATAAAAATAATTTTTTTAAATAAAATTTAATTAACTTTATTTATATATTAATTTAAAGTTTAATTTAAAATTTTTTTAATATTACAGATGGTATAATATTTATTTTATTAATATTTTGATTATATATTATATAAATTTAAAGATAAAAAATAATTTACCTTCTAAAATATAAATTTTTAAAAAAAAATCATTTAATTTTAAAATTAAAGAAATAAATATATATATATATTAAAAATTTTTTTAAAATAAAATTTTAATTAGATTTAAATATATTAATATAAAAATACAATTTAAGAATTACTTAAATGACTTACTTCCTAGTTATATTTAATTAATTAAATTCAATAAATAATTTTACCATCTATAATAAGATATTTTAAATAAAAAAATTAAATTAAATTAGAAAAATTTAATAAATAAATAAAATAACTTACTTTCTGTAATAGTAAAATATTTATGTAAATAAATTTTATAAAATATAAATTAAAATAAAATAAATATAAAAATGAATAATTTATTAAAAATAATATTATTAAATAATTATAATAAAAAAATTACTAAATTTATTGTAAATATTAATAAAAAAAAAACTTACTAGCTGCAATATAATTATAAAATAATTTTAAAAATATAAAAATTTAGTAAATTTAAATTAATATTAAAATATAGTTAAATAATATATTTAATTTAGTTTTGTAATATTAATTTAATAAATTAAAATAATTTAAAAATATTTACTTTTCTGTAATATATTAAATAAAAAAAAATTAGAAAATTAGTTACATTTAATTTAATATAAAATATTAATAAATAACTTACTCCCTATAATATTATCATTAAACATTTTTATATTTTAAAAATAAAAATTAGTTGATTTAATATAAAAAAGAAAATATAAGCAAAAAAAATTACTTACAATCTATATTATTAATAAATTAAATATTTTAAACAAAAATTTATAGTTGCATTGTAATAATTGTTATTAATATATATTATAAGTATTAATTTATTGTTAAGAATAAATTACATTCTGTAATGTTAAATAATTTTTATAAATAAGTGATTAAATTCTATAGCTTAAAATCAAAGATAAACTTACTTTCTATAATATATTGTTAATTGTATAATTATAAAAATTAAGAAAAAGATCGTCATGTTTCAATCACTTTAGCCAGGTGGTCTGAAATGTTACGCTTACCTTACCATGATCCTATCAAACATCTAATAGTTGATCCCATGCATTGCTTGTTTCTTGGTATTGCTCAGTGGATAATAAAGAGATAGTTATATAAATTACACATACAATACTAAAATAGATCAAATAACTCAATATCTGTAATATTATATATTTTAAATAAATAAATTTAACTGAGCTTAATCAATAACGTAAAATATAATAAGGAATTAAATAACTTACAATCTATGATCATTAAATATTAAAGTTTTAATTAACACAAAAAATTTGCAAATATAAATAAACAATAAAATAAATATAAAGTTACCAGCTTCATCCTCAATTAGATAATCTACATCCTGGTCTATCATTTTTATAGGATTATAGGAAGAAAGAAATTTACAATCATTTCAACAATAATTACCGTTATTTATATTAAAGCAGCACAAATAAGATCTACGACTTGATTTAAGACAAAATTAGTTAGATCCAGAAATGACATCATTTAAAATTTAAGAAACTTTGCCCTCGTCTTTAAGAAATTTACAGTATATAAAAAGAAATTGCTAAGTTAAAAACGTCATTTCGAAAATTAAACAATGAAATATTTCATATAACATATGTTTGAAAGGAGTTACAAGAAATGGTAAATCATATGGCTGGAAAAAATAAAAAATGAGTTAATGCTAAATCTGAATATAATTGACCTAAAAATCATATTCGGCATATAAAATAAAATTGATTTTTTCCGGCTGTTTCCCCTTTCTATTGCAAAGGTCTCATATGATCAGAACTTGAAATTTTTCATGATCACTTTTACGTTATTATCTCCTTATTTATGAGTTGAAAGACTATATATTTCTCTCTTTTTATTTTATTTTATTTTTTTTTGCCTTGAAGATCTAAAAAAAAAAGGTGCCATTGTTATATTTAAAAGATTTATTGTGCACGGGTGTTGCAAATCATATACTAGTTTTGGAATTTTCAATCGGTGACAATTTAATTTCCTCGGAGTTAAACGATAACAAAGTTAAGTCTAAAATCTTAATTGTTTTCGCAAATTTGATAGGAAATTAAACTTAATATTTTATTATAAATTTATCAAAAATTCAAAAATTGTAATTCTTTGTTAATCAAAAAAATACTGAAAGCTTGAAAAATTAAGAAAGTTTCTATTATAATATTTAACTAATTAACTTCGAAACTTAATAGTTATATTTTAAAATTTTGTACTTTTATATTTAAAATTTTAAGAAAAAAATGATTAAAAAATTTAATTTTATAATTAATGGAAATAGAGACTTTAAAGTAACTTAATTACAAATTTACTACATTATTTTTGGCTGATACTTTCGCCCTACCTAAGAATTAAACCCGGCTATACTGTGCATAAAATAATGTTCTTATCTATACCCTATAAATTTAAAATTTTTATGAGAAACTTTTCTTATCATGATATTCATCATCTTTAGTCCTAACAAACACTCGAGTAACGATGCCATTATATCGGATTTTTTTAATATTCGACATTCTCCATTTGCAGGTTCGAACATTTGAATAACAACTTCACAATATTATTCTTATTACAAAGGATTTGATTTCCAATCAAAATGCAATAAAAAATTTCATAATTCTTTAAGAATTTCAAAAAAATTATAAGGAAATATTTCACATCACATTCTGGCACGAATAATTTTGACATTGTACAAACGTTATTTCGGAACTTCTGAACATTCTTAATGCTTTCATTGCATAACTTGTTTAACAAATTTAATATATTTAATTAATATTCTTACGCGAATTTCTTAGCGATTCGCTATCAATCAACTCTACAACCTTCGCAATTAGAACATTTATACAGAGGGTGGACAAAAGTATCCGCACACCCTCCATAACGTGAATTAATGCTAGTAAAGTCATATGAGCGCAA